GGACTTCAAGTAGTATGACCCGCACATTTTCAGCAGCACCGTGGGAGACCAAATAGAAGCTCAAATGTGGATTTCAACATTAGAGACGATATTTCTGTTCATGGATTTTTCGGATGATCAGAAGGTGTTTTGTGCGAAGAAGGACATAGATGGTGGTTGGATAACAGGGAATTTCTTGGTCCTACTGGGAGTGTTATAGACTTGAAACGATTCAAGAAAGCTTTCTTAAAGCAATTTTATTCGAATGTAGCTCGATTCAAGAAATAACAAGAGTTCACCTACCTAACACAAGGTGGACGTCAAAGTTTCATTAGTGGACAATGATTTATAAATGACTGAGAAGTTTATTGTGGGATTGGATATAGAGATTCGCGCATGGTGGAAGCCATAGACCCTACCACCTATGAGGATGCATTAAGGACAGCCAATGCTCTGGAGAAGCCTAGAGATGAAGTGCATCGAGAGTCAATAGTTACTGTCGGGTGAAAGTGGCCATATGAATCGAGGAATTTAGACCGACGGCCATCAACGCGTAGACCTTGATATGCTGATAGACATCCCCTCGACATGCCGACATGCTGACAGGTATCCTCCTCGATGTACTGAAAAACACTCCATAAACCAAGATGGGGCCAGAGGAAGAGGAGAGGCAGATTGTAATATATGTGGAAAGCCACATGGGGGAAGATATATGGCCGGGACTAGAGGTGTTTTAGGTGTGGCTAAGAGGGTCCATTACTAAAAACTGCACAAGACCTTTGCAAACTCATTCTCAAGCTAGTGCATATACGCCCACATGTAGGGATGCCAGAAGGTCCGACATAGTAGTGACAGATACACTATCAGTTCTGGGACTTATGCTTTCACTATATTTGATTCAGGTTCTACGCATTCTTTCATATCTTTTTCATTTGTTAGAGAAGTAGGGTTTGAACTAGAACCTTTATTGCATGTATTATCAATAATAGACTTAGTTGCTAAGGATAGAGTAAAAGATGGCAAAGTAACTGTAGTTGAGCGAACCTTAAGCGTAGACTTGTTAGTTCTTAGCATGACGAACTTCAATGTAATATTAGGGATGAATTAGTTAGCTGAAAACCATGTTAGTATAGACTATCAATTCTCATCATCGTCCGGATCCAGTTTTAAGTTCAAGGTTACATGCGCTAAAGTTACCCCGAAGGTAGTCTCGATGATGAAAGCCAAGAGATTGGTCCAACAAGGGGGTTGTGTCATATTGACAAGTGTCGTGGATGTAAGAAGAAAAGAAAAGACTTTAGGCACAGTGCTAGTAAATAAATTTTCATGTCTTTTTGGAAGACCTACCACTCCCCTTCCCAAGCGGTAGATTTTGCAATAGAACTCGAGCCGAAAACTGGGCATATTTCTAAAGCCCCCTACTGCATGGCGCCAGCAGAGTTGAAAGAACTCAAGGCGCACTTACAAGACCTACTGGATAAAGGCTTCACACATCCTAGCGTATCTCCTTAGGGTGCGCCAATGTTATTTGTCAAGAAGAAAGATGGCTCGATGCATCTGTGCATTAATTATAGAGAATTGAACAAGAGAACGATAAAGAATAAGTACCCACTCCCTCGTATTGAAGATTTGCTTGACCAACTCTGGGAAGCGATAGTATTTTCCACGATAGACCTTCAGTCAAGATATCACCAAGTTAAGCTAAAAGAAGTGGATGTGTTGAAGAGAACATCCAGGACAAGGTACAGTCACTACGAGTTAATGAATCGGGTATTCAAGGAGTGTCTCGATAGAGCTAGTGAATTAAAGGTGGTTAGAGCTAGTGAAGGATTACGACATAGACATCTAGTACCAACCTAAAAAGACAAATGTGGTTGCAGATGCCTTAAGTCGAAAAACGATACAATCGTCGACCATCGTCAGCCCTCATTCTTAATAAAATCAAAACGGTTCTCAATGCTTCCGCTATATGAATGAAGAGTTCATTCTCTTCAAGGCTCACATAGGTTGACTTGGATTTTAAAGAACATAATCGAACTTTGATTGAGGATAAATTAGTGACACCAAGTTAAGCTAATCATGTAAATGACTTGTTGGAGTTAGATAATTGAATGATGTATGATAGTGCATGCCTCATGACCCCTGCAAGCACCATATTATTTATGTTATGTGTATGTGTTCTATGTAGTGATATATGATGCTATGATATGTATGCATGTGATATCCATTAGACCATGTTGTAAATAAAATGAAATACTATGTACGTCACATTATGTATTGCCATGTAAAGTCATGTGGTGGATCATATGATGATTGTCATGTATACATAATGCATACATATAATATGTCATGGATGAAAGGAGAAAGGGAATGATGTTAATGCTATGCTATGAATGTAAATCATGAGACCTCATGCATGCATGTATGTCATGTGCATCGGGATACTTCCCCGTTATGTTATGTTATGTTATTAGAGACACATACCTTTGATATTTATGTTCGCCATGATATCATGCGAGTCTTTTCTTTTTTGTGGCTTCCAGCGACATATAATGCATTGTGCCCGACCAAGCCAGACCCAGGGGATACATATACGAGTTGCATGTGTTTTCATTCCCTGACCCCAATAGTGGGGTCACTTACTAAGTATTTCTTAAAACACTCAAGTCATGTGCTACTTCTACTTCAAGTAAAGACAAGGTGGCTCACGACGACACCTCTAGTCAAGACCATAACACATGCAAGAGTCGTTACAATGCATGTGGTAACGTCACTAATTTAGGCCAGAAAAATTAGGGGCGATACAAGAAGTACTATGCAGTAAAAAAAAAATAGGTCTTATCAATCATCATATATACGGTATGTGAATGCATTTATCAACTCCAATGGTGAGGCCAACACATGTTAAGAAGACTATGGAAATGATGTCATTGATATATAGTTTTCGGCATTTTAGTAAAATTTTCTCTCAATGATCAATTGGTTATGTTTCCACTTTTGGAATTCGCTCGGGAATTGCTATACTTTTTTTTTACTCGTCATGTTTGCATTATTTATGAAGTATGAATTTCATGACAATTTTAAAGTTAAAATAATTTTTTAGATATTTTTCGCTTGAAACAACTATAACATGTATGGAGTAATGATATTATTTCAGAAGAAAAAAAATAGGGTCGTTACCGAACTTGGTGAGTAATTTTCAAAATTTTATTTAATGGTCGATCTTACACTAATTACTTAATTTCGATTGAAATAGTGAAATTTAGGAGATCGACTTAAAAATAGTTGGTGAATGTAAAGTAAACCAAACATATGGAAAACTTTTGGTAACACTAAAATTCTTCCTATTAATGATTGAATCTTTCCATGACTTCAAAAATTGTGTTTAGTTATGTTTTGATTGATTTAAGTTTACCTTCAAATGAGAAATGAGAGGTATGAATCTTTTGTGGAGATAGAGTCAAACCTCGAAAACAACATACGGTCACGTAGAAGTACCATCAAAATAGAGAAAGACAAGAGTCGGTTGAAAGCGTCGACCACAACAGTTTCAAGGAGACAAAGTTCTGATCAAGTTGAGATTTGATCAACTCCGAGATCAAGGCAATAAGAGTCAAAGATTGGTATGAAAATACTATGGACTAGTTGAAGTTATCCACAAGATCGAAAAGACGTCATATAGGATCCATTTGCTCCCATGGATGTAGACTAGCCCTGTTGTCCACGTCAGTAACATGAAACGCTACTCATCTGACGTAAAAGACGTCAATCACAGAGAGGTGACACGACCTCACACAAAGAAGAAGAATCCCCAAGTAAATAATGTAGGAGAAACTTTGATGGGGGAGACGCTAAGAGCCAACGAACCGAAGTAGTTTTCAACATCTCCTTACAAATTTGACGAGACTCAACAATATTGTAATCAGCTAGAAACACATCGAAGAGAACTAAAAGTCAGCCTCAGCCTAAGACACAGGATTGTAAAGAGTCGATTGACAGAGATGTCAACCAATTGAGTGAGGGAAGATGTCACGGTCATGCTTGTCCAAAACATGACAGATGTCCCTGTCTTACTTATCCAAAACGTTTAACTAAAAATACTATAATTCTATATTAAGAATAATAAATAATAAAATATCATAAATAAATTTAACAAACAAGAAACAATATTTTAATTCTATTGTGTTAATTTAATGAAAGATGATTCAATTTAATTTAAACGAATGAAATATGTAATTTATTGGTTTGACAATTAATTAGAAAGTGGCATTCTTATAAATATAAAATGTTTTTTTTTAATTATTGTAAATAAATGGATGGAAATACGAAATAATTGATTTTATTATTGATATTATACCTTTTAACACCTTAGATTATTTACATTTTTCAAATAAAAAATAATTTTAAATTTTAAATAAGTTAAAAAAGAAACTTTTAAATTTTAGATTATTGTCATAAAATTTAACTTTTTCCTCGAACATTTATTTTGGATTTCAATAATTTTCAAAATAAAAAAAGTTCGATAAATTTTATTATTTTTGGTCTTTAAGTTTTTACACTTGAAAAAAAAACAATTTAGGGACGTATTCTCAAATCATTGCTAAAGGTCAGATACTAGAGGTAGCTTTTCCTCCAGGCTCCTATAGGCGTAGCTTTTCCTCCAGGCTCCTATAGGCAAAATGTCTAATATTTATAACGCTTTGATAGTTGAAGGTCAAGATCCTACTGGTCAAGAACTTAAAAGTTGACTCATTCAAATGGAATAAGTCAACAATGGGCAATGAAATCAAGTGTCATATGTTAGTGACCAATTATTAAACAAGTTAAAGAGACTCTCAAATAAACGTTAACACAAAATTAAAAGTTTATAGATATATAAAAACGAGGCTAACAAACGAGTGAGAAAACTAAAAGTTAGAGACTTATAGACATTTCACATAAAAAGTTCTTAAACTAAACTTGTAATTTAACAACGCAAAATTATGTTTAAACGAAAGAGGAGAGTTACAGACGGGCGTCGATTCGAATGTTCACCGTTATCTAACTAACGAACCCAACTTAAAAAGCCATATCCTATAATTTCTCATTCACCAGATCCACAAACTTACCCAATCTACATTAAGATAGTATTGAGTTCTAAATAATAAAGGGGGGAAACAAAGCAGCACTGTTTGAAACACCATAATAAATGACGAGAAACAAAGGTATTAGCAACTTCCAGTTCTTTTTTTTTTTTTCTTTTTTTTTTTTTCCCTGAGGTTCTGTTATAAAAGAAACCCTTTACAAGATAAAAGCCCTAGAGAAATTTCCAACAAAGAAAGTAAAGGCCATTGGTAGCCAGGAACTTATGCTTGTTCTCACCTGGCTAATAAAGCTTTAGCACCAATTGGCGATCCCCGAGATCAGTAATGTGAATCATGTGCGGGACTATCGGCATGCATGTCCATCGATGAGTCGTTAGAGCTGACTGAATTAGGGTCAGCATTCTGATGCTGAAGGAAGTTGGGTTCATTGTTTCGAGTGGCTCCGTTTCCTCCCGACGTCCCACTGTTTGGGTAGTGAGCTTCCCGAGCAATGTGATACTGCTGCAAACTCTGACGAATGGGGCTTGATAGAGCATTTGAGAAGACTGAGCTTTTGGAATGATTATCAGAGTGCTCGGTTCGACTTCCTTGTCCAGTGGTTGCTTGTGCAGAAAGACCTGAACCTGGAAAGCTTGAGTTTGTGAACTGCATTGTTGGTTGAGCATGTTGATGTTGGTGGACTGCTGCTGCTCTAGGGGACATTGACGGTTCCTCCCCACAATAATCCAACTCGTTCTGGAGAGTACGAAATTCAGAAAACTCATACAGCTAAAAAGAAATCAAGCGAAACCTACGCTAAACTCGTTAAACCCTAGCACGAATGCAAGTTACAGTTGTTAATACTTTTTTGTTCTCCTCTGTGCATTGAACTCTAATTTAAAAATGCAACTTTAACATCTTATTCAACAATTTCTTACTGAAGAGAAAAGAATGTGTCATGAGGAAGAATGTGTCATTCGTTTCCTCATGGGGTGTTTAAGGATCAGGTTACCCTGACTGAAACTGTGAGATGCCACGTCGGTTGGGAAGGAGAACAAAGTATTCTTTATAAGGGTGTGAAAACCTCTCCCTAGTAGACGCGTTTTAAAAACCTTGAGGGAAAGCCCGAAAGTGAAAGCTCAAAGAGGACAATATCTACTAGCGGTGGGCTTGGGTCGTTATAGAAACTTTAGCAGGTAGATACTATAACCGTTGTTTCCGAGTTAATCACTGCTCAATTCCACATTTTTTATTACCGATCTCCGTGTCCCTCCATACTAAAGGGGATTTTAGGCAACCACAAGACTGAAACTTCTACTAGGTATCTTGTCATACCTGATACCACGTATCATTCTAAAATCTCACACGAGAACCATATCCAGCTACTTGCACACAAACCTTGAGTTAAGAGATCTTTCCCTCTTAAAATGGTGAATCAATGGCTTCTAAAGCTCATAAGAACAGTAAATTGCTAATCTAAGAAGCACAGATACAGATACAAATACAAGATATGGATACGTCACGACATGGACACGAAGACACATCATTATTAAAAATCTAGGACACGAACACAGATGGGACACATTTATTAAAATATCCATTAAAAAATATATATATATATCACTTTTGTACCAGAAGGAAACACCTTTCTTTCCTTTCTTTTGCCACATCAATGTAAAAATCTAATCCATAATAATTTTATGATAAATCGCTTCAACTGGACATTCAAAGCATCACAATCACATATAGTCCATCCTCGCTTATTTGTACAAATTAGAACCAATGAAAGTTTCTCTCACCCAAAAATCTAATCCATAATAATTTTATGATAAATCCCTTCAACTGGACATTCAAAGCATCACAATCACATATAGTCCATCCTCGCTTATTTGTACAAATTAGAACCAATGAAAGTTTCTCTCACCCAAAGAACTACTGGTAATACATTAAAAACACCAACCAAATAACACTTCTTCACTAATTCATAAATCCCAAGTTCTTTATTAGCTTGTCTAAAAAGTAATCTTGCAAAGGACACTGCATAAGGTCAATTAAAACTTCTTCCCACCAAAGAAGTTGCATATAACGGACAAAAATGGAAAGAAATGGAGAAAAAGCAAGAACCAGCCTTTTCTTCAATCTAGAAAAGCTCCTTGTCCAATCAAAAAGTAGGAAAAAACTTGTTCCCCACACATAGCTACTTAACGCCATACTTCAAAGAGCTTTACAATAACCATAAAACCAATAGGTGATGTAAACCAAAACACAAACAAGAGTGGACAGCAAATGAAGCCCAGGAAGCTAAAAAAGAATTGAGGGCACAATGCCATGAAGGACACCAAAGGGACCAAGTGGACAATGAACAAATCCAAGGTTCCAAACTTAAGCGATAGAGCCAGAGACTCAAAGCAACGTGTGTTGACGGCAGTGCCGACTGTTGTGACGATGATGACGATGGTGGCTAAGAGGACACACGGCAATGAAGGCAATTAATATGGCTAACGGCTGAAGGTTAGGTCAGGTTTCAAGTTGATTGGGTTTTGGGGACTTGAGAGGCCAAAGGATTAGGATGCAAGACAGAAAGAGAGAGGACAAACGGAGGATGCGAACAAGCGGCAGCGAACGGACAGCAGTGGCTACATCAGAGACGACTAGGTTGAGGTTGAGGGACGAGAAGGGGAAGAGACGAGAGTTAATCACCTCCAAGGATGACGCACAAATCCAGACACATTAACGAGTTTTTAGGATAAGCTTCTCAACAAAAGGTCCTATTATTATACAAAACTACTCAGGAATCCCTCAAAGATAAGTACCATATAGCAAGCCAAGCTCCCAGTTTACAGCTAGCTAGGCCCAACAAAACAAGTTGATGAATGTTACCCCCTAAAGCCTCATTTAGTGAAGCTAGTTGTTATTGCATATGCTTTTTCGAAAAGTTCATTGAAAAGTTCAAATCAAACCAAGCAGATTCAAAACTTTGTCTATATACAAGGAAGCTGCTAATAACAAAGTGTAAAACATTAAAGATGCATTAAAGGGGCATAATTTTGCCCAATATAAAAGAATTCAATAAATGAATATCATAGCCTTTTATCTAAATTCCACCAAAACGATCTTCCAATGATATCATAGCCTTTTATTGTAGCCTTTTTGTTGGTTTGGGCTCCTTTTGTGTGAGCCATTTTTGTAATGCTCTTATTCTTCATATTTCTACAAAAGTTTGGTTTCTTATTTAAAAATACGAGTATACCCAGGGAAAGGATCTTAACCCCAGACTTGTTGACGAGGACATATTTAAGTTAGAAATACAACCCCTTCATCCATTTTTTCCAAGCCAAACCAAAACCCGTTTTACGAAAGGAAGCATCTAAATAGTTGCAATCCACCTTGAATGCATCAGGTGTTATCTTTCTTAACCCACATGTAACTACGATCTTGTTCAGATTAGACAAATTAGGAGTCCTCTTTATAATCCTTTAGCTTGAGGGGGATATCTCATCTCCTCGTTTTTGTTTTTATTTATCCTCGTTGTTATATTCTATAGTTTCCTTGAAAAAATATATTTAGAAAATACAAACTTCTCACTGATATAATAAAAAATAACACAAATGTTCAAAGAAATCCCAAACAGGAGTGAATAAAGCAAAGTAAATAAAAGGAAAACCTAGCTCTCTAATGAAGGGAAACAAAAGCAACCTGAGCCATACAAATATTATTTTGGAGAATGATGAATACACAAATTACAAAGTGGACATCATTTTGAAGCTGTGAAGAATTCATTTGAGGAAAGAACATCTAACATGGGAGGAAAGCGGATCATCAAATATTTTGTGACCTGTTGGTCTACATTCTCTAAAGAAGCTAGATTACGTTCGACTTATGTTATCAATTCTAGTTGAGGTGCCTTCTAGTAATTTCCTAATCAGGATCTACATTCTCTAAGAAGCTAGATTGTGTTTGACTTACAGTATCAATTCTAGTTGAGGTGCCTTTTAGTAGTTATCTATTCAGGTTCTATCGTGCTTCTTCAAATGGGAGAACGTGAATTTTTTTGCAAGGAACCAGTACGCATTAACAAAAAAGCGGGAACAACCTAAGGAAGACAAACTAACTCAAATGTTCAAACAAAGATGAAAATGAAAGAAAAATGTAAACTGACCCGTATGTAATTGAGTACATCAGCTGTTGTCACTCTAGATCCACCTTCTTGTTGTCTAAACATCCATTGATAAAGCTTTTCCTGAAAACAGCATCAGATAAGGTAAAACATTTTGATGAAACAGATTAATGACATAATTTGTGAACATATTGTATTACACTAGCAAAACTAGAACTAAAGAAGACATTCCAAAATTGACTGTTCTTTAAACAAGAAACAACCTTTTCATCGTAGATTAAAAAAAACAACAAAACGCTCATGGATACAACCTCCCAGAGGAAGAGAGAATAATAAAGCAAACAAAAGAAGGGAGATAAAAAATCCCTGATAAATCCAGAAGACATGGCCCAAAATAAAATAAAACAAAACTTAAAAACAGTATCCACAAATGCATAAGAACAAAAAAAGAAAAGCCACCAGCAGAAAGAGCTCCAATGGAACACCTCCCTAAACAAACCCAACTGCCAAATCATCAACCCCAAGAGCCTCAAAACAAAACTTTGACGAGAGCCAATCCCTACTAACAAAACAACAAACCAGCCCACCAATAACAATGCCAATCCCGGCACTTGGTCTGCACTAGTCCCCTTAGGAATAATAAGGAACTACAGTGATTCCCAATTGAGCAGAAAAGATTTTGATTGCTATTTTGAGTGAACATTGCGAAGTACATTGGTCATAGTTACATGATTATTTTATCTCATGCAAATCGTTTGTATGTACTATTCAATATCCTTAAGAAAAAATTTTCTTATTCAATCTTTCCTTCCGAAAAAAAATTATCTTGAACCATCCATTTCATCTTCTTTTTGTAATGATCGACTTTCTTTCAGTTATTTCTTTCGTCTTTCCTCTCTTTTTCTTTTACAGAGTGAAATCAGGGAGAGGAAAATAGCAGCTCGACCAGTTAGAACTTCTGATTTCATAACCAACAACTATGGATCCTTTCCTGCACTCGTGAACAGATAAAACCTAGTCCACCTAACAAAGTTCAATTATTCATCAAGTTGAATAAAACCAAAAGTAAAAAATACTTCAGAGCTTCGCGGTCTTTTTTTTCTTTTAAAAAAAAAAGAATCCATGCTTTAATTGAGAAAAATGAAAGAGAATACAAAGGCACACTAGAAAAACTCAACAAGGAGTCTAAACGTAAAATGGGTTCTAGTCGAAAATAATAACACCTACTTGATAAGTACGAAAAGACTCATAAGCAAATGCCTCAATGAGGTGTTAAATCTAATATCCCAAGTAGCTTCCCAAGATCTCTCAACCCCTACAAAAATTCTATTGCTTCTCCCAAATCAAATACCCCATAAAAACGCAATGAAACAAGCATGCCAAAAAACTTTCCCTTGGCTTGTAAGGGAGGGGACAACACATCCTCCTCAATCCAATCTTTTGTCCCAAGCCAAAGAAAGGACTCCAGATAGAGACCAAATAGATGACACAAACTGACATTTCCAAACCAAAATGATCAAGATCCTTTTTAATGCATTGAGAGAATGAACCATTGAGGCCCCAAATAGAAGAAGAGCACCTTAAAACGTGACCTGAGGTTTTTGAATTTTCCATGTAAGAGTAGTCAGACAAAAAATTGATTTTCTTTGTAACTTTAACCTTCCGAACTGAGAACAAAGGGGACCATGGGCATAAGAGTGAAGAGAAGGAACACTCAAAAGATCGAAAAGAGAGTTACAAGGCTTATTGCAGCCAAGCATTTATAGAAACGTTGATTTTTTACTTCCAAGAAACTGATCAACTAAATTTTAGGTATCAGTATTGCTTTTTAAGATAAAGCCCTAAGAAGTTTCTTAAACCAACCTTGATTTTTATTTTTTCTAAAATAATGCCTTAAATTATTTTATCTTACATATCCATTCAACGATGTCTTGTATCCATTTATAGTGAATATAATATAGTTTCTTTACTCCTAGCCTAATCCTTAAACATCCCAAGACATCCCATCAGAACAAAGCATAAACATGAATCATTCAAATTAGAAACAAAAGGGAAATGTGGTACATTCGACTCTATGTGATTCCTTAAACAATGTTTTCAAGGAATCACTTTAACGTTCTTACAGATGAAAAAGTTCCTCATCACATTGAAAAACCAATGTATATACTTGATTTGGAATCAAATGGTACAACTCAGAACAATAAGGGTGGGAAACATTATAGATATAGCCACTTAGACAAACGTCTATGAACATTCAAGGCTTTCATCATATTCTAAAATCCATCAACTTCCTTCTGATTTTTACATCTAAATGAAGATTTGTGGTTAACAACTAAATAATTATTTTTGGTCTACATCTAAAACAGAATTTGTCCACATGGAATGGGTTAAGCGTACGATTCTCATCAATTTCATCCCTTGATGCATTAACCATTGCAATTCAATTATCAAAAAGATTCATTCTAGAAATGATTAACAAGTTCTTCTAGCAACAACACACCTTTTTCAAAAGCAGCCCTAAACATATTTGTTATACAAAGGAACTTGAAGAAGCTCAACAAGAGAAAATATTAGCCATTGCAAGCTGGTATAAAAAGAATGAAACTTACTCTTCTTCTCCAATTTAAACTCAGAGATATAAGAATCAAAAAATGAACTAGTTGAAAATAACTTACTGTCTATCTAGAGCTGCAAAATTCTATCGATTAAGCTCCAAATATCACGAAAATAAGAGAAAGAAACAAAAGAGGATGTTTCTTTGCATTCTACATTCACGAATAATTGAAGATTACCATTTTTTTTTTCTTCATATTAATGAAAGGAGTATAATTGCAAAGAGAATCGGAAAGGGAACACCAAAAAGGGTAATAAAGCTTAGTCAACTCGAATAATGTTGTCCTACTCTTGTTCCTTCTCATTCAATATCTTCTCTATCCATTAGCCAAAGCCTTCAAAATATTGATCTGAAGAAACTTGGCATTGAAATGTCAAAGCTAAAAAAGATTGAGAAAGAAAAGTCATAGAAAATCTATTTATGTTCTCTTAATTTGATCCTCTCATAAACAAAATCATCAACTATGTTGTTGTTTTCATCGAAAATTGTCTTTGGTTGTTTGACTTATCTTCCTAAAGTACTTGATTCAGTGTAATTCAGAAAGGCAAAAAAGAACCAAAATGCTTCGTTCAAGTTTTGGCAGGATTTCTGAGAACGTTGAAAATATGGCTTTAAAAAAACTACAAAATGTTTGTTGATCATGAGACATCGACACATGTACCAGAAGTAGAGATTAACCCCAAGAAGTTTCCTAAACAGACCTTGATTTTTCTTTCCATGAAATCAAGGCTTGGTTTAATTTCACATTATATATCCGTTCAACTATGTCTTGCATCATTTATAGTGAATACAATAGCATCTATTATGTTAGCCTAACCATCAAACATCCTTAAAGAACGAAGGATAAATACGAAACCTTCAAATTTGAAGCAAAAGGACAACATAGAACATCCAATTCCAGTCATCGCCTTAACAAAAGTTAACCATAAGTAGACCCGCTCATCACAATGCATGAACGGTATAGATTTCCAATCAAGAATCAAATGGTTCAAGGCAGAACAAATAACGATGGAAAATATTATACTTTCATCGTATTTCACAATCGAATGCTCAGACTTTTAAGCAGAAATAAGCGAATAAGCATGATTCATACTACCTTAATCCTCAGAATACATTAAACTTCCCGGAATCGTTCAAAATAAGAACTCATATCAAATAGAAAAGAAACAAACAATAACCAAAAACCGCGTCTATCAAAATCAATTTCATGCACACAAAAGAGAAACAGAAAAACATGATAAAGTCCACAAGGAGGAGGGGAAAAGATGAAATTCCACACCATGGCATGACGTTCTCCGGCTTGAAAAGAAAGCTTCTGGTGGTTCATAGCCTGGGTGTAAAGCTGCGAGAGAGAGTTGGCCCCGCTGCAAAAAGAGGTGTACATGGTCCGATCTACCTCGTCGAGGCTGGTAGCAATAGATTTCCTCTTCTTAGCCATAACGGAGGGATTAATCTTCTTCTCCGGTGAGTGAAGGCTCTGATTCCGGCGGAAATGGCGGATTCCTTCTCACAGTGAAGATGAAGATTTTGAGAGGATTGGGGGAGGATTGGGGGAGGATTGGGATTTGGGGAGGGCCAAAGGGCGACTGGTGAGGGACTCGGGACGCTTGTATTCCTTGTTTTTTTAATGCGTTATTTAAATTCAACCTATAATTGTAATTTAACTCCATCATTTTATATCCATTAAACTATATTCAAGTTGATATATGAAAATTTAAAATTATTAATATAATATTCAACTGTATAGATATAATCGAAAAAATCATATCCAAGAGTAGTCTAAAGAATTTATAATATATGAATAAAATTTTGTATCTTAATTGATAATAGAAGAGTTAACTATCAATAAGTGCACTCATCCTGGGCTGTCTACCTACGTAGTCCCAAGTATTGTCCAAGATCGGTTTACAGAATTGCAATCACTGTCTTGACTCGTTTTTACACTCAATAGGAGTTCTCGTCTAAAGCTAACTACTAGCGTAATCTCAAGTCTGGTTAAGACCTTAGCCTCGACTCGATCCTACACTCAATAATAACTGAGTGGCATTGATGTTTTGTTGAGATTCCTTAATCATACTTAAATGTCATGGAGGTTTTCTAGATCCTTAGGGACGTCTGAGTAGTTTAGTCCTCATCTTGCATTTTCAGGACGCTTGTGGTTAGCTACTCGAGGCTAATCCAATCTCTAGGTGCACTCAGGTCTAGACCTCTGATCACCACTCACGCTCCTAGGGTACTTGGCCTATTGGAAAAGTACTAACCTATGTAACCATATAAACTACTCTAGCTCTAGTGCCCTAAGTTTAGCTTGGTTTACTCACGTATGTTTTGTTAGGGAGATATTTTTATCAATCACAAGAATGGAAAACATAATCTATTCGTCCATACAAGTTTGTTAAGGAGATATTCCTATTGATCACCTAAGGCACGGAAAACATGATCTATTCATTCATACATATTTATTAAGGAGATATTCCTATCCATCGTAGTGAACACAAATCACAACATCTTGTCCACCATTCTTAAGGAGTGGAAGGTATTAAAAATAGGTATGCAACTTAAATTCTCATCATAGGGGCATTTCAGTAATTTTTCATAACATACATAACATTCTCATCTAAATTGCCTAATCCGAGTCCTAAACATGCATATTCTAACCGGATAAGGCTAGATATACTCGCATGCTAGCACATCCTAACAACCCTTACAAGTATTACTTGCAAAAGATTGAGGCGCTACTTACTTGAGTGAAACGTGCCCTTTCCAAGCTTGCTTTTCTGCGTGTTGGAAGCTCCAATTTTCTTGAAAGTTCACTCGTAGGTTCTATTTTAAGTAAAATTAAGGCCAATATCTAAATTAGAATGAAAAATAGTCGAACAAAGGTTGAATGGGTTGAAAAACTCACTCTCACACACAAAAGAAGAGGTTCCCCACGTACGCAGCTCATGTGCTGAGTAAGGATAAGTGCGCCTTTGGCATGCCACGTGTTGCGCACTAGTTGATGCTTTCAGAATGGGGGCATGTGTTTGATTTCGGAGGCGCACGATTAAGTTTACACGATTAAGATGTGGGTTCTTCTATTTATTTCAGTTTGTTTGGAGAGCTAAACTTTATAGCGGAGGCAAGAGAGTTTTATGCAGTTTAAGTATGTGGCAGAATTTTATTTAATTAGTTTAAAATCACTAATACTCATTTGAATGATACCCAAAAACTCATTTAATTTACAGCAACAAAAGTTACCAAAAAGATAGGTTCTATGTAGAATCAATAATTTACTTGTTACTTGCTACTTGTTGTGATAGTGTATACTTGCACTTATTTTTGTGAAGTTTACATCATTTTATTATATACATCCACAAGCGATCAACATTCAAAGATCGTGAGCGACAGTTAAAGGTTTAGACCTGAGTGCACCTAGAGATTAGATTAGCCTCGAGGAGCTAACCCTGAGTGTCCTAAAAATGCTATATGAGATTTAAACGGCCTAGAAAACCTCCACAACACCCAAGAAAATTTAAGAGAACTTATGAGGCTACTAGCAGCATGAACTGGATCATTTTGAGGAGTGACTACCGTGTGTAAGAAGCGAGTCAAAAGTTCATAAATCAACCTTGAGAGGGGACAAGAGAATGCTAGAGGCATCATGGTCTAAGCCATCAGCTAGCCAACCTAGCTCTAGCGTCCTAATTATGGAGAAAAATTCATTCTATAGGTAAAACAAAAAATTAATAGCTTGAAGGTAAACATACTATATTAGGTAAACTACAAGGAAACAAGCTCAATGGGGAGATGACATCCCAATGGGAGATGACATCGAGTGAAAAACATGTAAACATCTCAACTCTTATCATAGGGCCATCTTGTAATTTCTTACATATTAAATAGTTTATGCATCCATAGTGTCGAACTCATATTTTAGTCATTCATATTCTCTTCCTAACTTTGCATAAAACATAAAATACCACACTTCAATGAATTTTTAACCTTGGGGCATAACAGTAATTTTTCATAGCATACATATAGTACATATTTATCATAAAACGTCCTTATGAAGTCTTTAACATGCATTTTCTAACCACTTAAAGTAAGGAATGCTCGCATGCTAGCACGTCTTAGTGATCTCTCTAAGTTACCTAAAGTCCATGTGGCTACTTACTTGGCTGACATGTGCCTTCCCAAGCTACTATTTTGTGTGTTAGGAGCACCAAAGTTTCCAAAATTTCTTTGGCAAATTCTAATTCAAGTAAAATTAGGGTTAGAATCAAAATCGAGATGAAAAACTTGCAAACAAAGGTCGAATGGGGTAAAATGAGGTTACTCACGCGTGCAAGGAAGCTCCCCACGCGGCTGGGGAGGGAGATGCGCATCTTTGGCTTGGCATGTAATGCTCTTGATTTGCGCAATTGGCTCCCACGTCTTGAGTTCATCTCTAGCGAGTGTGTTTTCCTCCAATTTTTGTTGTTGCGGCACATGGGATACTCAGGATGGGTCGCGGTTCATGGATCAGTTGGCATTGTGGTTGGATCCTCCACTTAGTGCCTCATGTCACTCTCAGGCTTGTCCAAGACGTGTTGTTTGTGGTCGCATGCCCGTTGCATGTCAAACCCCTCATGTTATAGTACGTTATTGCTTTCATGTATTGCTTTTATGATGTATACCGTTCCTATTGTATTTCCTAGGAGTATGATGTTTCGAAAAAATCACGTCTAGGATTGGGAAATTGAAAATGCCTCAAAATGTACTATAATGCGATTAGTCATTAATTCATACTTCCCAAAGTTATAGGCTATCTAAGTCATTGTGTTTCCTTTCTTGCTTACTAGCCTATAACATTATTTTCAACCGTTTTTTCAAATTCTTTTTCAAAAATCTCTTTGCCCCTGTTTTCTAAAACCTTATACTCAAAGCAGGGGGCTTGAGTATACGTCATCTAGTTGTAGGCGACGTAAATTCAAGTAGAACGACTCACTCGGTGCTAAAAGTGAGTGTCAGAATTGCTTGTAAACGTCTCGAGGGGGTGCGTTTGTGACAGTTGATATCAGAACCTAGTCGGCTCCAAGAGAAATTTCTGCAATCATGTCCAAGACCAAGCAATTGAGCAAGCCCCACGAAGAGTAGATGCAATACCCTTGAGAAGTTTCTAACAATATATGGTACTTGGACGAGAGTGTCAAAGAACTAGCCATAAAAATCGATGTGATCGATGCAATAGTTGGTCGTGTGGATGGAATGCCCATCCAACAACTGATGTATAGTGTGGAAAACCTTAAAGAATATTTGTTAAAAACACCACGTCTAGTGACCTCGAGCGTAGAGATAGCTATGAGAATATTTGCTAAAACCACCCATCTAAAAGGTGGTGAGAGTTTTATTATTTGTAATCATTTACCATATCAAATTAGATTAAATAGGTTATAAAAGAAATGGAAAGAGTAATAATCTGATAAAAGATATTACCCTATGAACAAGGGTCAAATGTGATATATATGACAAATTGTAATGGAAGGCTAAATATACTCAACAACCCTCGCAAGCTAAGTGTTGGATTTGGACAAACGTGAAGTTTGGATCTAAAAAATTAAAAAAGAGGTCAAGAAACACTTTTGCTGAAGATGCTAGCAACCTAGAGATGAGAGGGTACATACTATGTGCGAAGTTTGCCAGCGACAACAAGTTCTCAAACGAAATGATAATCTAATTCAACATGCTTGACCCACTTGTGAGAAATGAGATTGGAGCTAAGAAAAATAACACTTTTGTTGTCACACAAGAGCAAGGACTACCGTGGAATGGGGAGCTTAAAGCCATGCAAAAGATGCGTAAGCCAAAGAAGTTCAGTAGCAGTCATGGAAAGAGCACGATACTCAGATTCATAGTCGGAGTGTAAGACAATAGATTGCTTCTCAACACTAAAAAAAATGAGATTGTCACCAAGATAACTGAAATAGCTAATGTAGAATGACGAGTATTGGGACAACCAACCCAATCAACATCCGAATAACTCATTAGCTCACTGGAAACAATAGATGGATGAAAGGTAAGGTCATAGTGGAGTATGCCCTTGAGATAGCGAAAAATAAGCTTGACAACAAGAAAATGATCTACAGTAGTGGCATGAAATATCTTGAGTAATATCTAGGTGCGTAATGGTCAAATACTAAAAGGCTCCAACAAGAGATTGATCGAGAGTAGAATCAGAGAAAGGAAAACCATCAGCAGTCATATGTTGAGAAGCAACCATGGAGTCTAGACTAGTTTGCTATCAAGTAATTGAGCATGAGTAGGAATATCTCGAGCATATTTTAACTCACTAATAATGAGACATCAAGAGTGAGTGAAACTTCAGAACCAAGAAAGTAATTGAGATAACCCAAATAATTTGTAGTAAACTAAGAATGAAGCTTGCGAGTAAAGCGGTAAAAAAGAGATAGGTTATTGTCGGTAACAATATTGTCATCGACATAAAGAAGCGTATAAATAAGGTTAAATTGTTGATAAAATACAACAAGAGACATGTTAGCAAAATTATAAGAAAAACCAAGTGTGAGAATAAATGAGCTGAAATGTGAAACTAGGCACGAAAATCTTGCTTTAAGCCATAGAGTGCTTTGT